GTGATCTCTACAGAAATCCAAAAAAAAATAGTAGCTAATAAATTCATTTCATCCGCTACGTACACATCTGTTGGCCGACTGAAGTGTTGGCCGCACAAGCGAAGTTAATCGCGACAAAAATAACGCTTTGATGTGCGAGAGTTTACCGACAGCGAAGAGATGTTCTTGCGACTTCGCACGAAATTACGAAGTATTCACGAATATTTGACGACATACATTGGCTTAACGCGAATATTCGCATTCCTAGGCATAATAAGAGCCTGCCGTACGCGTTACTAACAAGAAGTAAACCGTTTGGTTCTAATGCGTAGTATATAAACACCGAATGGGTGGAGATCAGCCGAGCGAATCAGGTAGATCAACTGTGAGATCTCGACAGAAATTCAAATAGCGGTCACAAATCAACTGGTGGTCCTCGAAGTACTATATGAATTGACAGTATTGAACTCATTATTTTATAAAACGAACTTTACAGATTTTATCTCGTTTGGTCAATACTTGAAACGTCGGGAACTAAATAATTTTAAAATCAAACATAAAAAGTAATTAAACAAATTTGATGGAAAGATAAATAACTTGTATTTACGCAAGATGTAAAATATCCAGATTGGAGAGACGTGAAGCTGCGTCAAGGGCGTTGAACGCAGCGTTTTTAAGTATTCTGCTGTGTGAAAGAGTATTATTAAAAAACTATTTACTGTGATTGATGAGTGATGACTGGTATCTTTATAAGCTTTCTCCCAGATAAACCTAGTTTACTGACGCAGTATGACATATACTGTTTATGTTTTTTCATGACATCTATGCCTAATTTCAATCTTTTGTCAACATAAAATTATTGTCTCTATCGAGACATTAATTAGATTAATAAAGTTCAATTGTGCCATGAAAAATCCTACTGAGTAGTTAAAAATTGAAAAAAAAACTAAAAGTTTCATCGAAAAAAATTGTCTTGTGTAGTTCGCGAACGATGAATGATAAGGAAACGTATCTTAGCACTGTACTAGAAGAAACGTTTCCGAACGCTGATTGTTAATCGGTTTATTAGCTCTTTCCAATTACATACACCTACACTCGCAAGACGCCAGACCTTCCAGACTGTGCGTGCGAAAGAGAACGAAAAGCGAGAGGCGCTGAGTTTATAATTCGGAGAAGAGCCGACGAATGCCTACTAACTACCATTGCCTCAAAACGTGTTCCAGACTCCTAAGCCACAATTATGTTTTTATTTATACGAGTGGTTTCCAAGTGGTCGAAGTTCAACCGTAATTTATAAAATTTATTGGTTTGTATATTAAGCACGCCGTATTTCACTTTCAATTGCACAAAAATATAAAATAAACATTTTTTTAACCTTAACACACACTCACCACACTATTGAAATATATACATTTATTTGTTGCCAACAATCCTTGGCGACAATCTGTACTCTGTGCGACTGTTTGTCCACAGACTATTAAGTATTTGACATTGGCTTATAAGTAATAACATATATAATATGCATGTTAACAAATAACATAATTTGTCTAAGCGGCAACTATGTGTTTGACATAAACAGTATGAACGTAAATTATGTCTGTTTTATATTATTTAATTTAATATAATTGTAACACATTACATTATATTTAAGTTTTAGCTTTCGGCACTCCTCCATGCGCGCAATATGCTTAAAAGGAGGCACAAAGTTTTCGCTTCACTAGATAGAGATAGATTTTGATTACTTCACCACTGTCTCACTTTACTTGATAGGGCAGGTCTCAGGTACGGCCGCATTTTCTTTATTAGTTACTGTTGGCGACGCGAGATAAATCATCTCAATAAATCTTTTAATGTTTCTTATATTATATTAAGTGTCAAAAATAATTAATTTTATTAAATGCTAATTTCTGAGTGAAAAAGAGTAAAGGAATGAATTGTATTAACTTAGAGTCATGCATTACAGTCATAGTAATCGACTATGTAATATGTTATGAATAAAGAATTAAAAACATTTATTGTTTTTAAATCCTTTGATTGTTTACATTAATGTTTAATACATGATAAGACATTCCGATGTGTTAGATAAGGACAGTTTAATGCTAGAGTGAAAAGGTGTATATGTATAGACAAGGACAAGTATAAATGTTATAAAGGGATGGCACGAGCCTCCTATATAGTCCAGGAGGGATGGGTGCGGCGACACCTTGTAAAGGTTCTAACAGAATAACGGGCAAGCACGAACCGTATTATAGAAATATTAACAATATTAAGATTTAATGAAATTATATTTTTGTCTATTTTTTAAAGTTTTCTAAAATAAATGTAATAATAGCAACTTGTGATTGTTTTTGCTAGATTCTGTATTAAAATAAGATGATATAAATTTGAATAGGAGGCTTTTTGCTTTTATTGACATCGCTTAATTTGCAATTTGTTCGGGACAAGCTACAGTTACCAGTTATAACCAAGAAAGATAAACGGATTAGGGAAAAATAAAGATAAAAGTAAAGTGAAAGTAGTTAAATTCAATATCACATTTCGAAGGGGAAGTTACGAGTAATTGCTGTTTTATTTCACCAGTGTCGACCCTTTAAGTAGGGGAATTAGGAAGATATACAATCCACTAAGTTCATGTCTGACGTCTAGACCGGGACCACCACCTTCTTTTGAGAGGGCGGTGTGTCTTTCCGAGTTAAACGTCTTTTCAGGGGTCACGCCCACCGCATTGCTTCCCGAACCCAACAAGGCGTGGCATAGGAAAGGGGCCAGTAGATGGTAGATCACTGTTAGGGTACGAATTGAAGAACAACTCCCTCGTTTTCAGTTAACTATCAAATAGTGGCGCCTGGTTTAAATGTCGATGTCATTTTTTTTACTTCTTTTAACGTCTGGTTTCGATTGATTTATAAAACATGCCAGCGCCTTGTGAAAAAAAAAATCAGTAATTATTAATTAACAAACGAGAAGGAGACGCCTCCCCATACATTCTTGGGTCCAGGTGTTAACAAGATGAAAGGTGAACCATTTGAAAGCATATATATAAACGAATCATAGCTGAAAATCTCCAATCAGATTTGTCACTCTGGAGCTGAGTTATAGTAGAATAAGTAAAAGTGAGGTTTTGTATTAACTACACTGTAACAGTAAATTTTTTACTACAATTATTTATAAACTCGCATGCCTACTAAAAGTGTATTACAATTTAAAACAATGTTCCAAGATATCAATATATCAAATCGAAAAGCTTATGACGTATTCCAAAATAAGAACACCAGGTAGTCGTGTCTCGGGTCGGGTGCCTGTGCCAGTTAGTATTAAAGCAGGAAAGCAGGATCAGTATAAACATCCCTTAATCTGCCTTAGTTAGGCACATTTCTAAGCGGCTTTTCGCCGCTTGCGCCCTCCTTTCTGCCAAGGAGGGTCGCGTCCGTTTACGGCTTAAAGATCTCTTGAATAAAACTAAATTTACGGATTTTATCGCGTTTATTTCACTACTTTTACTTATTTTTAATTCCCGACGTTTCGGGTGCTTTACAGCAACCATGGTCACGGGGGGGGACTGAGATGTTTGACGTTCCCAATGTCATAGTTAGTCCGGCTACCTTCAGTTTTTGAATATTAATTTTTGGTCCGATTTACGCAAAACAAGCTTATAGTATCATGAAGTCTTGCAGTGGTATGCTTAGGTTTGGGTTTAATTTTGTTAATTACAGGATCCCAAGCAGGTGGCAGCACCCATCCATCTTCTCTATTGAAATTTGGATGTTTTTTTAATTTCAATAGCCTCGCGCGGTAGGAATCGGTGTTCTTTTGCGAGAATTTGTGGTTTATCAAAACGAATGTAATAGTGGAGACGATCTTGAACATGCGCAGACTTCTGTGTCTGCAGTATGTTCGCAGACTGCAGACTTCTGTGTACTTTCTGCGCACGTCTCAAATCAATTTGAAAATCGGTCTTTTTCTTTTAAGTTTCAAAATGAGAAGTCCTTTAATGGTAGATAGCGTTCAGAAACGAGAATTCCAGTAAAGTGTTGATTTATAGGATGTTGATATTTTTTATTTTTTATTATTATTTTGTAGATATGTTTGTAATTTTTTTTATCTCCCTACTTAACTCAGAAAATTAATCGAAAATAGATATTAAATGTAATTAAATTAAATCGAGAATCGATTATATTGCGCACGTCTCAAATCAATTTGAAAATCGGTCTTTTTCTTTTAAGTTTCAAAATGAGAAGTCCTTTAATGGTAGATAGCGTTCAGAAACGAGAATTCCAGTAAAGTGTTGATTTCTTATGATTATCGATTTATTGCCATAGAAATGTTTATTTCTTTGTTCCTTATGTTTTCTTAATACCTTGGAAGCTTTTTTTGAATCCGAATAAATATAAAAATTTAGATTTTTTAAGGTTTTTTATCGGATTGTTTTTTTTTTCGAATTCTATATTGTAAAAATAGATAGTTTTTGTACTTTACTTTAGAAAAATATAGCCATTTTTTTTGAACCAATTTGTTAAACCAATTTTTTTAATCAATTTTTTAAACAATTTGTTAACTTCAGGCCCAAACATCTCACTCTCCTTTGGAATACGTTAAAAGCAGCAAATATTGATATTATTCTGCTGCAGCTTTCCTAAAACCTAAAGACAAACAGGTGAAAGCCACTTGAAGAGAGGGTTTCCTGGTTATCAAACTACAATGTATCTCTGAACAGAGAATCATGCATTGATTTAAGCACAAAATATAACTAAGGTTTGCAAACCAATATTGACGTAGTATGGTTAGCTCTTCTCTATGACTAGAATTTAATTTTTTTTAAATCAGCATAAAAATTTAAAAGATGGTTTGGTTGAAAGGTCCCCAAAATCCTTCCAGAACTGTGAGAGTATCCTTCCCCGCACCGACCCATTCGTACTACAGCTATACTACTGATATAACTGCAGCATGGCTCTACCATGTATAAAAACGTATTGTTTTGATTGCATTTCAAGCAGAACTGTTCCACGTCATTATATCCTTACCTCGTGATCAGGTCCTGGTTTAGATGCCAATCTTGCTTCCGTCAATTGATTCTTCAAAGCCCTAAAACAAGACTTCTATCAAAAATTTATCTAACTGTTACAATATTATAATAAAAATATAAAGGAATAATCAAATCATTCATTATAATTAATTTAAGCCCTAAACATGGATCACACAGTTCCCCAAGCTAAGTTTAGTTTAGCTCACGTAACTGCAGCGTTTTTCTATACTTCAGTTCACATTGCTAACTACAAAACTAACTTAAGCAAGCTAACTAAAGTATATGAATTACATGGACTGCCTAACCAGACATTAAAAACAAGATCGTCGGGAGCCAATGCTTGAATACTATTCCTCCTGATGGTTAAGTGGTGACGCAACCAAAGATGGCAAAACACACTGACTTAGCTTAATAAAATCCTGATGTACGCATTACGAAGAAGAAGAAAGCAGTTTAGTTCTAATGCGTAGTATAAAGACACCAAATGGGTGGAGACCAGCCGAACGACTAGTTGTCCGATGATGAAATGGAATTTGTTTTGTGTAAAAATGTATCTTTTAAAACACCAAAAGGCTAGCTACTTTGTGCTTATGGCCGATATTGGTTAGATTGGTTTTAACAATACTCCTTACTAATTTTTTGTTCTATGGAATCAATGTGAATAAAACTCACATATAAAGCTCTTCAGCCTTCCGAGCTTGCTTCTCACGCCGACGCAAAAGCTCGACGCAGTGCTGAAGCGTCGCTAGAGTTGCGCCACATGTCGCTCTAAAGGACGTGCTCGTTGCACGTACTTCGCCTGCGTACATGCGTAAATCCACACCTAATAAAAAAATTTGTTAGAACGCACTTGCCTTAGTTGAAACTGACAGTTGTGAAAAAAAGCTTATCAAATTCCATTGCTAAACATAGGCCTCCGATTTCTTATATTTACGCGAACACTACACATTTAAATAATACTAGACCGTATATTAACTATAAATACCCGACGTTTCGAGCGCTTTCTACAGCACCCATGGTCACGGGGGGACTGAGATGTTCAACGTCCAGATGTCATAGTTAACAGCGGTTACCATAGATTAAAATTTAACTTTTGTTCAACACAACAAAACAAAAGTTGAATAAAAGTTAAAAACTAGTATTATTTAAATAGGCCTCCGAATAAATTGCCTTATATTTGCTGCCTGGGATTTTGCCATAGTTGCCACGCTAGCAAGGCGCGATAGCAACCGCAGTCTTTTATTATCAGGAAGATGCTATTTATTGCCCATCTCCTGTTTCACTTTCCTTCTGTTATATCTTACGATTAACACTAACTGAACTTAATTTGTTGATGGATTCTCTCACGCCGCTAGCACACGGCTCTCTGGTTTCCCTTCATAATGTATAAATCTTACATTAATTTTCTATGACTTTTTATAAAAGTGTAAAACATTTTTCATAAAAACATCGCAGTTTCTTCATCTCCATTATGTAAGTACATATATAGTTTAGTTTACCTCACTACCAAGTGGCAATTTGAACCAGTCAAATCCCAACAGGAATTTACTAGGGGCATTCAATAAAAACCGAGAAAACTTTTATTAGTTTTTGTTTTATCTTTCGACATAGTCATCTTCATCCTGTGCACCTAAAAACGTCTGAAAGCCAGCACCTCGAGGCGCAACCTGCGCCACAGTGCAACAATTTAATAATGAAGAAATATGTAATGATAACTCTATTATATTCTCCAGGACGAATTTTAGCCATAGATTTGGCACAGGACAGGATTACAGTACACGTGGGTGTGCAGTCAGTCTCTAAGCCCTCACTTTCATTAACATCTCATCTACTAAATAGTATAGAGTTAGATAGGATTAAGTTTCTTTTAACCCAAAACAATTTATAAATGATATTGTTTTTTTACTATGTGATGAAGCCAATTAGATGAATGAGTAGAATGGGACGTTCTCTCGCTCGTTTCAGGTACAGCCTCGTCTTAGTACCATAAATTGTCCTCTAATTATCACAGTCGAATATAATATTCGCAACTTAATGATAGCGTGTGATTGACTTGTGTCCGCGGGGGCGTATTTGTGACACTATTATCTATATGCTCTGCACATAACAACTTCTAATATTGTAACAGAAAAATAACGGTCGGCCTCCCCCACGGATTTCCTCATAGGGTGAATATTTTCCATAATTACCACGCTCAACAAGCGGGTTTGCAACCGCAGTTTTTTTTATTGTTAATACGAGTACTAACAGTCCACATCCACAGCACCACACTGCATCGCACAATCGAGTGGAACGTGCGTATCAAATCGGAAAGTCCCGGGCGGCTTTTAGTAGCTTGGGAACTTTATGGACCTGTCGTTACCTAGTTGTCCTGTCACGCAAATAAATTAAAATGGTTCACACTTCATGTGCGGTAAAAAACATACATTTCAACATATATTCAAAATAAATAAAAAAATATAGTGTTAAATAAGTTGTTGTTACTCAGAAATACATTATAAACTGCTTATATTGCGTTCGACAGTCGACAATATCTTATAATTATTTTTTTTGTAACTACTAACTATAATAAGCTAGTATATTTATTATTTCTGAACGAAAATTGCCTGATTAAATTATTTAATTTGTTTATACGTGAAATAAAATAAAATATGTTTTTTTTATTAGCAGTTTACATAATTTTTGTCGGCTTATCCGACAACATCAACCGCGATGATTGACTGTATATTCTTCTTAGGCTATGCTGCTGCCCATCTCCTGATTTGTATCCCTCTGTCGCCTCTCATGACACCCATATTTTATAAAACAATTTACCAATATTTCAAAGTCACTTTCACAATATCTAGCACTGTGGGGGCGCTATCGTCGCGCCACAAGCGAAACACACCAAAGCCTAAATCACGCTATCAAAATTCCGAATCGTACGTTTTGCATTGTAATCTATTTTATTCTAAGTAGAACGAGTCATCGTTACTTAGGATTAGTGGTTATGATTGCGATTGTCTTAGGTTTGATTTCTGACCTACATAATTAATAAGTGTAACAACATGTTAGTTTAATTTACAGAATCGTGAATTGTTTCTTTTACTAGTTATTATGATTTAGGTAATCTCTAGGTAATCAAATATACAATATGTAACGTAATTAACGCACACCCTCAGACACCCCAATTAGTATTGTTGCGGACGGCGAGTGAAATCGTCCATCGCCCCGCACCGCACCCACGTCGACACGTCCCGCGCGCCCCGCATCGGAACAAGGGCCCCGCGCGGACGACACTCCCACTAACTCGGTGCTTACGGCGCACCGAACTACGAAATAAAAGAAGCGTTTCTGGCGCCGATTTTTCATTCCGCCTGTGGCATCGCTTCCGAGCGGTTGCATCCAGGTAGTCCGCGCTTTCGTTCCTGTACGGTAGTGCTCCCCGCTCTCGCGCCCCCGCTGTCCCGCTCGCGCTGTACAGCGCCGACGCAGTGCTCAGTCCGCCGGCGGCACCGCTCTCGGACGGTCGCCTCCTGGTGGTCCGCGCTCCCGTACAGTACGGTAGTGCTGTCGCGCTCTCACGCGCCTCCGCTGTCCTGCTCACGCGGAACAGCGTCGAGGCTGCCGGTGAGTCACTTTTTGCTACAGCTCTTGCCCCCCTGTCTTCGGGCAGGGAGGTCTGACTGACTTCCGCTTCTCATTTCATTTTTTTTCATTTCACTTGTCATTTCATTTTTTTTTTTCACGGTCTCCTTTATTTTTTTGTGTTCTTGTTATTCTTGTATTACGTGTATAGTGTGTCGTAGTACGTCTCGCGATCTAGTCCCTGTTCTACCGAGAGCAGGGACCCGCCCTCATCTTTATTTATACATAGCTCAGCTTGCTTACTGACCCAAAATGGCCACACCCAGTTTCACTGAGTCCCTCGCCGCCCTCATTAACCAATTCGGTTTAAATGGCAATGAGACGGTCCTCGCCGCCATCGCCACCATCGCCGCCCAGGCTTCCCTCCCTGCCCCTCAGGCACACCATCCGCCGCCGGTAATCGCATCTTACCTCGAAACGAGGAACTCTTTTGCCCCACTCGAATCTGCCCCCCTAGAAATGGAGTACGCATACTCCGAGTCCTCGGCGCCGTCCTCCCGGAAGAGGCGCGCCACTACCTCCGGCTCCGGTTCATCGGAGTCCTCTGACTCCGACGGAACCGGTGAGTCAAACTTCACCACCGTCACCTCCAAGCGCAACGGAAAGCGCGCCGCGTTGAAACGCACCCCCCTACTTCAGCGGCCCCTGCCGCTCCTTCAACCTCCGCAGCCCTTGACGCTGCACCCGTCCCACTGATGTCACTAGACATCCCCACTCCATCTAAACCAGCCTCTCGTTGTGCTCCAGTGCTGGCGAAGAAACAAGTCCCGTCCCCTGTCTTCCTAAGAGACAAGGCAAAGTTCACCCAACTGTCTAAGACCTGCTACGACGCAGGTATCAAATACGATCATGCAGTCAACCTCGGGGAGGCAATCAAAATAATCCCTACCTCGATCGAGGACTTCCGCGCAATCACCCGGCTATTCACAGCCGAGCGCATCTCATACCACACTTACGCTCTCCCTGAAGAGCGTAAAGTCAGGGCCGTCATCCGAGGCGTCCCCTTTGAGTTCTCCAACGAGGAAATCCTCGAGGACCTTAAGTCCCAAGGTTTCCCAGTGGAAGCAGTGCACAAAATGCACAACCGTACGGGCAAGAGATACAACCTTGCCCTAGTAATCTTGTCCAACGTGCCGGAGGCTAAAGCCATCTTCCGGCAGGTGCGCACAGTGTGCGGCCTGTCAAGGGTGAAGGTAGAGCCCCCACATAGGCCCGGTTTCCCGGCGCAATGCCACCGCTGCCAACTATATGGTCACGCGGCGGCCAACTGCTCCGCCCCACCCAGGTGCGTGAAGTGCCTGGAGCCACACAACACTAAAGAGTGTCCCCGGCCCAAAGACGCCGAATCCCCGCCCGCCTGTGTCCTGTGCAACCAGACAGGACACCCGGCGAACTACAAGGGTTGCCCACGCGCACCTCAACCTCGCCCCAGTAGGAAAGCTCCACCGCCGGTGAATGACCGCACTTTCCCGGCCCTCCATCAACGGCCCCGTCAGGGCCCCTCTCAGCCTATCCAGGGCTTCTCTCGACCCTCTCAAGGTCCCCCTAGGCCCCCTCAGGGTCCCCCTAGGCCCCCCTCAGGGTCCCCCTAGGCCCCCTCAGGGCATAATTCGGCCCCCCTCCGGGCTTCTCAAAGCCAATGCAGCCTCCAGTCTTTCCCTGGGGGCCCAAAAAGGCAGACCCTCCGCGGACAACCTCGTACGCACACGAGGCAGAGCCCACAACAGACGACTACAACACGCTATACTCCGCGATTAGGAATATAGATGTTAGAGAGATTACAGTAATAGCACGCAAACTGCGCGCGGCGAAGTCCCCCCAAGAGCGTCTACTCGCTCTTGCCGAACATAACGATCTTCTACTAGCGTTGTAAGTTAAGTTAGCGTAATTAACTTAACTCCAATGCCTGAGCAAACTAACCTACCTAGATCTCACGGTCGTATCAAACCTAAGGGTTTATCGCTTGTATCATTTAATATTCGCGGCTTGCGAAATAACCTCCCAGAGCTCAAGCTCTTTCTTCGGAATCGTGAAGTCGATTTCCTCCTCCTACAGGAAACCAATCTCAAAGATAAGGACACTAGAGGCCTTTCTATTAAAAACTTCTCTCTTCTTCGTAACGACAGACCCGACCGCCGAGGCGGCGGAACGGCCATCTATTACAAGAAGACACTTCATTGCTCGCCCATTTCTACT